TTCCAATTAGACATCTAACAGACTCCAAAGTATGATCTGACTAAAACAGAACTCTTCTTTCCCCCCACTTAAAATCTGTTCCTCCTTCAGTCTGTCTCTGTAAGCAGCAACTGCATCCATCCAATTGCTCAAGCCACAAACCTATAAGTTGCTGTCTCTTGCACCCCACATCCAATGAATCATTGAATTCTATAGCTTGTCTTTTCAAAATATATTCAGAATCCAGCCACTTTTTCCATTTCCACCCTGGTTGAAACCACCACCATTACTCACGAAGATTACTGAATTACACTCCTAACTGGATTCCATCTTTCCTTTTCTGGTGCCGTGCTATCTCCATACATCACCCAAATGAACCCTCCAAAACAAATTAAATCAGGTCATTCCTCAACCCTGAACATATTCTATAAATTCGAAATGAAATCTAAATTCTACTACCTCCCTTTCCAGCTTTTTTCCTACTCCTTAATCACTGTACTCTCTTCACACTGAACACTTTATGATGCAATTCTTAAAAATAACAATGTATGTATATATGTATAAAAGGTGAGAAAGAATAGGCCCTACCATAAAACATGAATAATTATTTATAAATTATAGCCAATTTTGCAATAACTTTTATTGCAAAAAAAGTATTTCTAACTTATGTTTTTATGAATAATTTATATAGTAAAATATATAAAAAGCCTATGTATAAAACCCCTTAAGACCCAGTGTGGTGATAGTATTTAACCATATACAAAATCTGGGAATAAACCATGCATGTTATCAAAAAAATCAGAACAAAAGAAATTTAAAAATACAAAAATCGAAAAAAACTTTACATGTAGAAATAGTTGGTATTTACTAATATATGATCCAGGCATTTTCATTCATTATTTCAATTAATTCCCATAATAATCCCTGTGATGAGAACTATTACCCTCATGCTACTGTTGTGTAAAATGAAGCTCAGAAAGTTTAAATAAGTTGCTTGAAGTTGCAGAGTGGTGAAGCCCAAGTCAACGCCCCTTGAATAGTCACGTTCTAAATACTATTCTAAATATCGCTTCATTATAGTCATATACAATAGTGCAAAACTGAAATGACATACACATCCACCAACAAAGGAAAAAAGACATCACCTGGTTATAAAAATGTTTACTGAAACTAGAATTATGTAAAAATAGATGTGTGTTACATGAAAAAGCCAACTATAGCATTTACTCATGAGTACAAGAAAACTTAGTATTTCATATGGAAATAAGTCAAATCAAGCCAATACATTAATGTTGGTTCAGTTTGGACAAGAGAACTCTACGTGGTTTTGTTTTTCTTTTGCTTTTTGTATTTTCCAGATTTTCGTGAATGCTTCAGAACTGCTTTTAAAAACAACAAAAAACTAAATTTCATGGAACAAAAGTCAAAGTCTTTGATTAGTAATAAAAGATAATTCAGTCTCAGTGTCTTCCAGCTACGGATTCGAAATCTAGATCTAAACTAGATAAAACCTTAAGTATTATGTAAAAGGCGATCTACATTCTTTTAACTGACATCTGAGAACTCTCCATGGACCAGGAGTTTTTTTTCAAAGGATTTTATGATACTCTTTATTTTGTTTGTAGCCTACGTTAAGATGAGCCAAGTAAGAGCTTATCGGGATTGGTAACTATGTAGCTTAGGTGGTCCAAACGTTAATAATCTTTTTCCATAGGAGGAACATAATTCAAAAGCACTTTCAAACTACCCCTGGAGTGTGTATCTTGCACTAAAGTAATAATTTTTAAAAGGAAGCAAAGATGGTAAAAAAAAAAAAGTCAAAAATGCATTCTTGTTCTCAAAACCTTGTCTCCGGGCCAGAACACTTTTTTGGTATTGTTTGGTAGTGAGGCTCCAAGTGTTGTGGGTTTTACGCTCCCTGTCTGCAAAAGAGAGTCAACGTCCGCTTTTTTTGAATTCGGCTTTTCGCGGCGGTCAGCAAAGCGTGCCAGGTCCCCCGGGCCGCAGGCCGCGGATCTCGAACCTACTTACTACTAGTCGGGCCGGCCCCGCGGCTCCGGAAAACCGCCTCAGCTCTAAAGGTGGCAAGAGCGGCGAGACTGACAGGGGCAAAAGAGCGCGGGCTCACAGCCCGAAGGAGGAAACAGAGAGGCTGGGCGGCTCCGCCAGGCGCGACGGAAATGTACCGACCAGAGAAAATCAGCTCAGTCTACAGGGAGGGTACTGCCGGGGATTGCGGGTCGCTGCCTCCCTCAGGCACGCCCACCCCTGTCGCCAGACGCACGCATGCACGCACGTACGCACGCACGCGCGCGCTTCCCTGGGCGCGCGGACGGAGGGCCCACGGTCGGGAAGCGCGTGCTCGCCGAGGCCCCGCCTGTTCAGGGACTTCCGGTCAGCGGGTTCAGCCGCTATGTTGTTCCTCCTGTACCTTTTCGGTGCAGCGGTTCCCGAACTCTGGGAGGAAAAGCAGAAGAGTGAAAACCTGGACTTGAGTTTGTCTCTTAATAAACGTTTGCTGACTTATTTAAAGTAGTAAATGATGTTTGCCTTAATTTTAACTCTGCCTTCCCTAAACCCCATTCTTCCAAAACTACAACACAGTTTTGGGTGAATCCTTAACAAGTCCCTCCTAGTGCGGTCCGAACTGGTAGTAATCGTGCAAGGGAAAGCGAATTGGTGAGAAATCTTAAAGGAAATTTGCCAGCATCATTTTCTGAAATGTTTTGTTTTTGTTTTTACTGTGCTCTTTTTAAAAAATTTGAAGGGTTTGTCCAAGTCTAAATTTGAGCCAGTCATAATGTGGCTTCAAACCTGAACAACTCAGCCTCTATTCTCCCCACCTATCCTCCCTTGACCACACTCATACAGCATGGTCATCATTGTCAAATCACTATGTATACATTTGAAACTAATAAAACATTACATGTCAATTACACTTCAATTAAGAATTTTTTAGACTCAAACAGCAGAGGTGACAAAGGAGATAATATTGTGGTTGAGGAAATTGAGATTTGCCTATGAGCTTTCAGCATTAAGGAAGAGACCCAGGGAAAATAAGGTATATCTGGATGCCCGTTCATTGCTCTTTCCATTACCTTTAACTCAAAACACATTTGAATATCAAAGAGCTGTGTAGGTGGGTGCTCAATAAGTAGATGCTAACAAATGACATTTCTGTGGGAAGCAGCAGGGTAAGGAAAGAGCACAGACGGGAGTTAGATTTCATTTCATATCCTGGCTTGGCACTTGGGAACTAAGTCATCATAAGTTACTTTACCTCCTGGTGCCAGTGTGCTAGGCTTCTTTTGCCCTAACGTATATTCTACTTTATATCCAAGATGAGATCTCTTGCAGGTTTGCACTTATTTCCAAGAATAAATCTGAAATAGGTTTGTACATACATACACTATGTTCATCTATTTTAATTTTAAATTTTATTTTAAATATTTTTTTGTTATTTTAATAACATTTGAGCCAATCTGGATACAATGACACATGGCCTTGCCTTCATGGGGGCTGGGGCAGAGAATATAATAAACCATAAATATAAGAATGAATTCATGAATTCATACTACTTTTGAAAAGATACATAGAGATGAGAATCTAGAGGCAGAAAACAATTAGAACTCTGAAATCCCAACCTACACACTATTAGTAAATAATAGATATATGGTTGAAGATATAAACCATCTTTAACATACTTCTGAAAACTTTTTCCTATGAAAAAAGTCTTCCAAGTTATTATACCTGAATCTCATTGTTAAGGAGAAAGAGAAAAATCCTTCACAAAGAAAGCAATGCAATTAAGGACCATATAAAGAAATGCTACAGTGGAGTCGGGGGAGGAGAGGGAATCCACAAAAATCAGTGTTAGTGTTCCATATTAATAGAGTCCACGAAGGTAAAACGTTTAACATTTTTTTTAAGGATTTATTTATTTGAAAGAGAGAGAGAGAAAGAGAGAGCATATGAGAGGGGGCAGGGTCAGAGGGAGAAGCCGACTCCCTGCTGAGCAGGGAGCCCGATGCGGGACTCCCAAGATCATGACCTGAGCCGAAGGCAGTCGCTTAACCAAATGAGCCACCCAGGCGCCCCAAACGTTTAACATTTTAAACACGTTTAGGTTAAGGCAACGAGGGACTCATTTTGTAAGAATACTTGTATATCTTCCCCTCTGAAAACCAAGATATATAACAAGCCCAGATATTCTGAGGTCAAATTTCTATGGTGAAACCAAACTCAGTTCATTACAAGAAGGAAAGCGATTGTCACCCTGATTTCAGGTTCCAGAGTATAAAGAAAGATATTTTCGAAAGAGAACGAATATAGAAACCTACGTGGTGTTAAAAGCTCTCCAAGAACCAGTAAATATTTTCTCATAAAATATTTCATTTAATCGATTACTGTAGAATTCATTATAGAAAAACAAAATCACATAAAGTGATTTGGACCAAAAATATTACTGAACCAGCAAACCTAACGACTCCCGAATCGTTACCCCTAAATTAAGCAAAAGCTTAAAGGAAGTGCAAAAGTTTCAAATAAATGTATTAATAATAATTCCGTATTAAAAGACATTTACGTTCTAGATACAGTCCTAACCACCCAGTATTCTCAAAATGTCTTTCTACAAACTTTCCCTTAATGCCACTTCAGATTGGGTTATCTATCCAGTAATAAGGCATTTACTATGCCTCCCACTCAGCCCAGCAGCAAAATCATCATCTTGTCCTAGTTTGAGAATTAACTTGTGGGGCCCTCAGTGCAATTAGTTCTCGGAACCGCACACAAAATACCGGTATCTGACTCCCTCTGGGACTTCTTTAGCAAGTTTTCAGAACCAAATGTTCGGTGCCAACATTCACTAGCGGGTAAGCCTAAATCACTCACCCCGTAAACCCTTAGCAGGCGCCGTCTATACCTCCTCACGCCCAACCCCCGCCCCGGAAGTTGCGTCATGGCGCTCGTGCGCCATGTCCCCGGATGCACTTCTATATCCGGATTCTTAGAGCGGACTCAGAGCTCCACGGTTCCCTACGCGGTTAGCACATGCGCGAGGGCTCTGCTCCCTTTTCCTCCACTTCCACTAGCCTCTACCGTCCGGGAAGCCGCCGCCACCGCCGCCGAGGAGTCAGGAAGTTCAAGATGGCCGCCGCGGAGACTCTATCGCTGCGGGAACAGCCAGAGTAAGTAGTCTCTGTGAGCGGTGCGGAAGGCCGGCGCCCAGGAGACCGCCAAGTGGGAAACCGGGGAGACCTGCACGGGCGGGCGGGAAAGTTCAGGCCTAACGGCGAGAGCGAAACTTTGTCTTTCCCCGCGCGATACGTTGTTGGGCGGGAGGCGTGGGGGGCTGGCGGGCGGGCGGCCTTCGAGTTTCACTCCCGCGGAGGCCGCGGCTGTTGGGTCGAAGGCGGCCGCGGCCTGCCGCGCGTCGTTGCCCTGGGAGGCGTACGCGCGAGCGGCCTCTACAGGTCCCGTGCGCGAGGCGGCTGCCGCGACTGTGCGGTCGCGCCTTAGTATTTCTCCTTCTGGGACCGAGCCGAGCTCCCTGGCTGCAGCACTCAGAGACATCGGTTTTGGGCACCCGAGGAGCAGTGGCGGGAGAGGGGCAAGCATTAAGACTTTCTGCCGTCGTCCTGCTGTTGGTGTCAGTTTTAGGACCTGAAAGCAGGGAGGAGAAGGGATGCTAGGGCTACCCTCTTTGACCATCCCAGAGCTATATAATAGTTTGTCGCTAACGGGGTATTTCATTTCCCCATCCCTGTGCTCTTACTCCAGCATCATTCGATCTATTTTTTCTTACCCTCTGCCTGTTGGCAGCTTATTTGCCAACTTGCAAACTTGAGGCAAAGTAAGATCAAGTTCTTGGTTTTGAGGCCTGACATTTTTGGCCTGAGTTTGTAGGGCTTCTTTGGGAGTACAAGGGGAAGAAGTAGTAGCTACTTCCAAACCCAAGCACTTTATGTCTATAATTAAGCTAACGTAAGAATCGATGCGGCCAAGTGAAAACATTAGCTTGTATGTGCTGCAAAGTCTAACCGTTGCTTAAAAGCAGTATTTTGTTCTGTACATGTTGGGAAAACTCAAACAAGAACCCAAAATAGAGAGTGAATTTTAAAACAGCATTCATAGAGCGATCTTTTTGTGCATCAGCATTATCTGATTTTTTTTTAAAATCCGTTTTAGGAAAGGGATACAGTCTCCCAGCAACTAGGGACTGAGAGGAGAAATTTTTACTACCAGGCGCCGCTACACTTCATTGCTATGCATTCAGTTCTAGACTCCTCAATCATTTGCTTTACTCAGAAAATTAAACTAAGTTGAAATTGAGGGCTTTTGAAGATTGCTTTGTTATCTTCGCAAATTGACTTTAGAAGAGAGCAGATGGATTCTAAAGTTTTAACTAGACTTCACCTCCTTTTGTTTCTCATTGAGTTCACAGTGTGGCACGTTCCAGTATTTATGCCAGTACAATACAAATGTTATGCAGCTGTTTTTTCTAGCAGTCTCTTCAAAGTTCGGTAGTATCATGTCCATTTATTTGATTTCAGGGACCGTTCAGATTGATTTTGAGGAGTGCTTGGATCATATTTTATATGCATATTCAATACTAGACTTAATAATTAGCATTTATTTATGCCTCTGCAATATGAATGCCCCTGAAATAAATAGTCTTTAATTCTACCTCGCCTCCTCACAGGACTCTTGGTATAAATGGAGTATTTGGTCTGTAAGTGTCCCACTTAAAATGTTTAACAAAGAAAATAGATTTTGTATGAAAGCAAGTACTGTGTGCTTGTCATACTGAATGCTGGAATATAGTGTCTGAACAGTTCTTTAGAGGACACTGAGTAGTTTACAATTGTATGAGCTCTATTCGAAGTGGAACATTTGGGACAAAATAAAAAGTTAAGTTCCCTGAGGGCTTTTTAGCGGCTTTTACGTTTGTCCTTTAGCTCTCTTTAGTTCAGCCTCTTTGACGGTTTTAAACATTTAAATTTTTATCTGCATTTACTTATTTGCACTTACCAAGTACCAGATACTGTTCAAAGCACTGAACAAATATTTTATCCTTATAACGACCCTATGGAGGTAGATAACTGTTATTTTCTATATTTTACAAATGGTTAAACTGAAGCACAGAGAAATTAAGTTAACTTACCCAAGGTCACACTAAGTGACAAACCCAGGGTTTAAACCCAGGCAGTCTAATTCTAGAGCCCTGCTCCTGACTATTGTACTGTGTAGTCGCCCACTATACATTGTGGCTCCTTTTAAAAATGGCCTTTAAGGTTTGAAATCCTTTTTATTGACTTCCAGTGTCCCAGAAAGGTCCTTTTTTTTTTTTTTTTGATGTGACAGTTCTAATTCTTTGAAGCTTAATTTTCCATACCTGATTTGGAAAAGGAGGGATGGAGGAGTTCATTTTAAGACTAGTTAGTCTTTTCAATCCATTCTTACTTTTACATCTACATTAATTCTGTATTAAAGTAGTTGAAGTGGTCAGAGAAACAGGCTTACTTACTTTCTTTGTAAAGAAGAGAATGCTCAGTATTCTGTTTCCAGAGCATAAATTGAATGCCTCCCAAATAAAATGTCATTAAGAGTATTCTTTTTAAAAATTTGAAAGACGAAGTTAAAATAACACTAGTGGTTCATAATCAGTCTTTATTTTAAAGTTGTTTCATTGTGCTAGATGCCCGGAGACCTTTGTTTGAAGGATGAAACTTATACGTTGCATTTAACAAAATAAATGATAAAAACACTCCTAATACTTCCATATAGTCTGCACTTCAAATCAGCTTCGTTTCCAAATAATGTGATTTGAAGGATATTACTCAATTCTCAGTAAGTACTGTTTTATGACAGTCTTGTAGACCATTTTAAATGTTGGTTTAAACATTGACCTGCTAAATGTGTAAATTGTAAAGTGTTCAGTTGCAGAACGTAAATGTTAAAATGTAAATTTACATATATGGAACTTAAATACCTGTATTTATTATAAGCATGAACTATGCAAGAAGACTATGAAGTTTCTTATCAGGGTACCTTTCCGTAAAGTTTTAGAAGAAAGTTGATGATGAACCTAAATTAGCTGTTTTCGCACAAGCTTGTTATGTGTAATATGCCATCGATTCATTGAGTTCACGATTTCCTGATGTACCTAGTCAGACCTCAGTTGGTATTTTCTATGGAATTTGCATTGAGAGAGCAACTTGAGGAGGGTGAAGGTCTACTAACCCCAGTGTAGGAGAATAAACTGATAGGCCCTAAGTGCTTATAGCATCTTTATCAGTAGTGTAGTCATTTCTTTAGATAACATTCATTAAGTTACATTAGAAACTAGGGATACTCATTGAAATAACTCAAGTGACACGGGACATCATGATGTAGCTTCTAATTCTCAGAAGCTTTAGGAGCTAGTTTTTCTTTTGAAGGAAATTACTTCCTCTGTGGGTAAACTCTTAAGAATTTTGATTTGCAGCTCCTTGAAGACTTGTAAATTGTAGAAAGCACTAGAGAAGGGTTCAAAGAGTAGATTTTTCTTGGGGAGGGACATAATTAAATTTAAATCATTTTGGGGCACTGCATTCACCAGATAGGTGTATGCACTGTGTGAGGCACTGGAGATAGAACTGAGCAAAAACAAAATGGTTCCTGTCAAGAGATGAGTGTAGTATAGCCAGTAAGCACAGCTGTAGTCTAATGAATACAGTTTTTATTTGTTCTTCTATATAAATCATTTATTGACACAACAGATTACTTATTGAGTACCTGCTTACTATAGGTTAGAAAGTTTACTGGGCCTTAGGGATAGAGCAGTGAACTAAATAAATTAAAATTCTGCTCTCATAGGGCATGTGTTACAATACAGAGAGACAAACAAGAATTAGGTGGTGGCAGTTACTTTAGAGAAAAAAATAAGCAGAGAAAGGGGATATGTGTGTGGTAGGGTGAGGATTGTGATTAAAATGAATTGGTGAGGAAAACTTGACTGAGAAAGTAATTTAAGCAAAGACCTGAGGCTAGGCAAAGGAACCAGCAATGTATATATCTGGGAAAAGCATTCCAGGTGGAGAAACAGCAAGTACAAGTACCAAGGCCCTGAAGTAGGGTTTACCTGTTGTTTAAGGGAAGCGGTGTGGCTAAAGCATAGTGAGGGTGGGAGGAAAGTAGTAAGATCAATGTGTTGGGGAGGTTGGGCAGATAGTATGGGGCCTTGTAAACAATTTTGGTTTTTATTCTGAATGTGATAGGAAGCAATAATCAAGTATCTCACAGAGTAGTGATATGATCTGACATTTTAAAAGTATCTTCAGTCAAATGGAAGAGCTCTTGACTGACTTGGAATGTAATACTAGCCTTCTCACTAGCTTGATGTGTGTTTGACCGAAGGCAGGACCCTTAAACTTCCTTGAAACTTAGTCTCCTCTGTCCTGGAGACTTAGACGGTATTTCTTCAATACTTTGTATGGTAGCCTTTTATATATGAACTTATTGCTACAACAAGCCTGTGATTTATCAATACTGTTATTTCCCCAGTTTGTACCATTGGGAAAACTGAGGCATGGAGGAGCGACTTGCCTAAGGTTAGACTAGGTGTGTCATGTTGGAAACGCCATTTGAACAAGGTAGTTTGACTCAATCCATGCTCTTTGACCATATTACTGAAAATAACATTCTTAGTATCAGCCCTGACAGCTTCACAGTGTCATGGTGAGAAATATTTATCCAGTTTCTGAGGAAGAATAATCTCTTACTTTTGAGGCACTTGGTTTGTACTAGGCACTATTATGAGCCTTAATAACATCTATTAACAACCATGTGATCCTCACAGCTTGCTTTGAGGTAGGTATTATTTTCTGCAGTTTGTAGATGAGGTGCCTATAGACTTGAGGCCACTCAACTAGTATTGGAATCAGGATTTGAAACCAGATAGTCTGGCTATGGAGACTGGTTCCTAAAGACACGTTAGAGGATCTTTAGATAGTTTGAGTTTTAGCTTATTGACTAGAATTTTGTACTTTGGGCACTGAGATTTTATATGCCTGAAAATCATTGTCAGCCTTTAAAAAGGTTCTCCATACTTGTTTCCATATCTTGAATTAGCCTAATTGAGTTTTTCTCACACGTTTTCCCCTGTAAGTTGAGTTTCGGGAAAAAAAACAAAACTATACTACCACTTTCTAGGTTGTGTGATGGGAGATTTCACGGTAAGGGAAGTGGTTACTTATATGAGAATATAGCCTATATAAGGAACAAAGTTGAAAAGTCTTTGTATCGGGGCACCTGGGTGGTTCAGTTGGTTAAGCGTCTGACTCTTGATTTAGCTCAGGTGGTGATCTCAGGGTCCTGGAACAAGCCCCATGTAAGTCCCCATGCCCAGCGGGGAGTCTGCTTAAGGATTCTCTCTCTCTCCCTCCTGCTGCCTCTCCCTGTGGGTGCGTGCGCACTCTCTGTCAAATAAAAACCTTAAAAAAAAAAGAAAGAAAAAGAAATGTCTTTGTGTCTTCTACTTAAACCTGTGGTTTCCCCTCTCTCCCCACCATAATAGAACCATGTTGTTTGTTTTTGTTTTTGTTTTTTTTCACATAAAGATATTACACTTTCTTTTTCTAAGTCTTTGAGAAAATTTGATGATCCAGAGAACCCTGGAAAGCCTCTTTGCAAAGCCTCTTTTCTCCACCGGTGCCAAAAGTTCAGTTGCAGCTTCTACAACCATTCGGTATGGTCAGGGGGGATTTATTTTTTCCCGACAGAGAACAGCCATTAGCAGCCTTCTGTTTTTGATGTCTCGCCCCACTGTGAGGAATGTGCTAGTTTTAATTCATGTTGATTCCTGTAAGCATTTGACTGTCTCAAGTATTTCCCCCAGAACTTTTTCAGGAAATGGAAGTCATTTGGCTGATATTTGCTTCATGACTCCAGGTTGCTTAATTTATTGGACAGAGGTAGTAATTTATTTTAAGGACAAAGTGATGAAATGGGGAAATTTATAAAGCTAAATATTATATATTTTATTTTTCATACGTGTTTGAAGTGCAAATCTGTGGAAATTCCATTTGTAGGACCAAGTTGACATGCCCATCTTAACATTGTATGCTACAAGAACTCTTCTGATGATGGAATTTTGATTAAAGTGCACTGGAAGATGCAAATATATATTTTTATTCTGTCATCTTTGTTATATATTTATCTTTTTGTTCGTTTATTTATTTATTCTGTCGTCTTTGTTCCCCATTAGAGAGAAGTCAGTCCAAACTAAAACCTCTCAACCAGAAGATAGAGCTTTCTCTGCAGCTGTCTTCAGTACTTTCTTCTTTCTCACAGTCCACAGTACCAAAGTGGAGATTGGCAGTCTGGCAAGAATTTTAATTTCTTGCCATGTGGTAGTTGTATGTTCATGTTCTCCACACCACCTCATTGTTATCAACTAAGAACTTTTCAAAAATACCTCTAATATGTCACCTCCCTCCTCAGCCCTTCCAACTTTACTGAAGACTGAGACCTGACTGGAGGACCAGATTCTCCTCTGACTCCTGCCGTAATGGCAGTGTCTTTACAGACCACTCTCTGGCAACCTAATCCTGCAGTTCCTGGGCCTCTGACCCCAGTGAGCCTCTAACTCTATCTCAACCACTCACTCCCAGAATCTCCTGCAATATCTTTTCATCTCCTGGAATTGGTCCATTTGAGATCTTAACCATTAGACCAGTTTCTTCACAAGTTTGATGCTCTGGCAACACTGATCTGCTTATAGTTTGCTATTTATAACTGTACCTTTTGTCACTTTTTTTCCCCCCTATCTAAAGTACTCTTTTCCCTTCTCGTTAATTTCTTACTTATTCTCTAGGACATTTTTACTCCACCTTTATTTTATAATCTTATGTACCTTCTCAATAAACATTCCTTCTCTCCTTTCAAAGTCTCTGCTTAACAAGTAGCTGGGGTTTTTCTGTGATCTCCTTGACCATTTTCAGAGTGATTTTAGTTGATCCTTCAGTGTTCCCATAATGCCCTTATTTGTGTCTTTATCATTGCATTCTTCCAGTGTTTCATGTGACTTTCTTTTCCCCTGAACTATAATTTCCTTGAAGTGGCAGGTACAGTTCTTATACATCTTGTTTTCCTGCTGCCTTTCTTAATGCCTGCATTAAGTGTAGTGATTTAAAAAAAAATATTAAAAGAAATTGAATTCTGAGGCGCCTGGGTGGCTCAATCAGTTAAGGATCTGACTCCTGATTTTGGCTCAGGTCATGATCTCAGAGTCATGAGATTGAGCCCCGCATCTAGCTTCACGCTGGGTGTGGAACCTGCTTAAGATTCTCTCTCCCCCCTCCCATTTCTCCCCTTCCTTCTCTTAAAAAAAAAAAAAATGAATTCCTTAGTTCTTAATTTTGGCACAAATAATAAATTTAGTAAAAGTACAGGAGTATATAACTTGAAGGACTTGGACAAAATAATCCATATCTTCCTCCAAAAATAGTGTGTCTGAATCCAATGATTTAAAGTCTGGTGTTAGTCTCATATTCTGGGATGCGATGTTTTAGTATGGAATGATTTTAAAGGAGAAGGTTAAATAATACTGTTGTAATCTGCGTTTAACCTGGGATTAATGAACAGCAAGGATTTAGCAAAATAATTTAGAATCATAAACTCTTTCAGCATAGTCTAAACATTTAAGCACAAAAGCTACCCCTTTGATGTAAATAATTGTATTAATATTATTTTTTTTGCATGGCACCAATCAATATGAGCGTATTTTGGGAAACTAATCTTTCATTTGAAATTTAAAGAGATTAAATAGCCCGTTGAACAAATATTGGTTCAACTGTAGGCTTTTGCTGATACTGGACTATTGTTGACCTGCAGGAGACCCTTTGATGTGATTCAATCTAATACCACATGGTTGCTCAGTGGCCCCTACAGGCTGAGTGTCCTAACTCCTTGTCAGCTCATTTTGAAATTTTAACCTTTGGGGGGTTAAAACATCAGCCATCAGTGCACATTTAGAGAGTGGTTTTTTTTGGATATAGCTGAATATTGGTTGTAAAGATTTTAAAAAGAAAAAGTATACTTCTCAATATAAAGTGGAGAAAGAGATTAGTCTCCCAATATATGGCAGTATGTTTTCTGGAAAAAGAAAATAGGGGGTGGGGCATGCCTTTGGTGTTAAGTCTGTGTGGGAAATTATGCTTTAAAAAGTTAGTGACTTTAAATCAATATTAACATTTTACTGTACTGGTTTTGGATTTTCTTTTTATTAAGTGTGATTATTTTAACTTCCCTCATTATGTATGTATTCTGTGTATTTGAGTTCAACCATTAGAAACAAATTGAAGTTAAATCACTAAGTCAGTTTTTGCCATATATCTTTGCAATTAAACGTCTGAAGCTGTTCTGAAAATATTTCAGTGACTGACTTCATGTGTTACATTGAGATGTATTTTATCACTATTTTGTTAATGACTAAATGCTTGATAAATGATAAAATTTTAAAATGCGTTTGATAAATTTATAGGATGGAAGATGCTGATAATTCCGAAAAGAGTGTAAATGAAGAAAATGGAGAAGTATCAGAAGACCAGTCTCAAAATAAGCACAGTCGTCACAAAAAAAAGAAGCATAAACACAGAAGTAAACATAAGAAACATAAACATTCCTCAGAAGAAGACAAGGATAAAAAACATAAACATAAGCATAAACATAAGAAACACAAAAGAAAAGAGGTTATTGATGCTTCTGACAAAGAAGGTATGTCTCCAGCAAAAAGAACTAAACTTGATGATTTAGCTTTGCTGGAAGACTTGGAAAAACAGAGAGCCTTGATTAAAGCTGAACTTGATAATGAGTTAATGGAAGGAAAGGTCCAATCTGGGATGGGGCTCATATTGCAAGGCTATGAGTCTGGCTCTGAAGAAGAGGGGGAGATTCATGAAAAAGCAAGAAATGGAAATAGGTCTAGTACCAGATCATCAAGTACAAAGGGGAAACTTGAACTAATGGACAATAAAAATAGTACAAAAAAGCGAAGTAAAAGCAGATCCAAAGAACGGACTAGACATAGGAGTGATAAAAAGAAAAGTAAGGGAGGTGTTGAAATAGTTAAAGAGAAGACAACTAGGAGCAAGTCAAAGGAGAGGAAAAAGTCCAAAAGTCCATCCAAGAGAAGTAAGTCTCAAGATCAAGCAAGGAAATCAAAATCTCCTACCCTTAGAAGGCGATCTCAAGAGAAAATTGGGAAGGCCAGATCTCCTACTGATGACAAGGTTAAAATTGAAGATAAAAGTAGGTCAAAAGATAGAAAAAAATCCCCAATTATAAATGAAAGTAGAAGTCGTGATCGAGGCAAAAAATCCAGATCCCCAGTTGACTTAAGAGGTAAATCCAAAGACAGAAGATCACGGTCCAAAGAGAGAAAATCAAAACGGTCTGACACAGATAAAGAAAAGAAGCCAATTAAATCTCCCTCTAAAGATGCTTCTTCTGGGAAAGAAAATCGGTCACCCAGTAGAAGACCTGGTCGAAGTCCTAAAAGAAGAAGTTTGTCTCCAAAACAGCGGGATAAATCAAGGAGAAGTAGATCTCCACTTGTAAATGACAGAAGGTCTAAACAAAGCAAATCACCTTCCCGAACTCTGTCTCCTGGTAGAAGAGCCAAGAGCCGATCCTTGGAAAGAAAACGAAGAGAACCAGAAAGGAGACGACTTTCTTCTCCAAGGTAACTTGTTTTCAAAATGTTAATGCTTTTTACCAATGCACCGGATTTTAAAAAGGAGAAACTAGAGCTTGTACACAATAAAAAATGAGGTAGTATAATCAGTCTTACAGTTTTAAGTAGATCCTGTCCACTAACTAAATTAATATTTGTACTTTTTTCAGTGAGTATCTTGACTGAAAGATTTACAAATATTGAACTTGGTTGACAGAATCAATTTTTTCCCCCAGGTTCTTAATTTAGTATCAAATTTGCAGAATCACTGTTTTAAATCCAAGTAATTTGGCTGATAAAAAATCTATGTATACCCATTTATATATTCCCATTTATGGGAAGTGAGGGGAATTTCTAGAGCAAGGATTTTTCATTGAACAGTATAGGCTGAAATTTTTAACTTTAAAAAAGGAGGTGTCAATTTAAGGATTGTGATGTATCCATTCTTTTGAATTGGCGTGATTTTGAATTCCCAACAATGTAAATTGGAAGTACCAAATTTTTTTTTGCCCCAAAAAATTAAATTGAAAGTGGACATTTTTTTTGTTACTAATTCATATACCTATAATCGCATTGTTTAAAAAAATAGTATGTCTTAAGTTTAGGAAGAAGAATAGTGTAAGAAATTATTTTATTTTTTTACCAATAATAATGAAAATGATTCATATTTGTATAATGCTTTTAGCCCATCGGTTTTTTCCTCAAATTCTCCTGATTATCTCCTCATAAAGTGGAGTGACTCTCATATTCATTTTATAAGTGAGAAAATTGAGAGATTATTCCATTTACCTAGCATCATAGAACTAATAGGTAATTAAGGCACATGAAGGATTTTAGCAGAGTGGGTGGGGATTGTTTAGACTAGTCTAAACTACTTTAGAAACTTGATTTTTTTTAGTATCCTTATGTTGAATAATTGGACATGTGAAATTATCAGCCAGGTTTAGCTTAAAAGAAGGTTGGCTTATACTATGTAAAGATATGAATTCCTAGCCACGTATTGTGTCTGTGTATAAATACAAGTTGACCTTAAAGTTTAAATCATTTTTTCTGAAAAATTTCAAGAATGCTGTTTTCACAAAGTGCTGTATCTTAGATACTCTTAATTCTTCTAAGTAGCATTGTAATTAAATGGCCCCCTTCTTCCTTTAGCTTTCTAAATTGAGACAGTTGTTAGTGTTGCTGATTGTGTTCTTTAAAGTGTTTCTAAGTGATCTTTGTTTCTTTCAGTTTGTCTTCCCTTTGAAAAGCAAATTCAGAGCAGTTTATTAAGGACTAGAGTTGAATATTTGAAATAAATTTTTTTAATTACAGAAAAGGTACTAATTAAAGAGAAATTCAGATAAAGCAAAAGCCTGTAAAGTCTTTACCTTTTCATCCTTCCACTACCAGTCATAAGAATATGTCCTTCTAGTTCTTTTTTTATGCACATACAATTATATGAATGTTCTTTCATACAGAAATGGAGTCCTACATGTTAAAATGTGATTTGCTTTTTTCATGAAACATTTCTGTGACAGCAAAGATCTTTTTTTTTTAGCTCTTTATATAGCAGCACCATATTTCACAGTATATATATATAGAGTTGAGCTTTGAACAACACAGGGGTTATGGGCACCAGTCGCCCACACAGTCAGAAATGGGCATATATAACTTTGGACTCCTCCAAAACTTAATTACTAATAGCCTACTGCTAACTGGAATCCTTACCAATAACTTACCACGTATTTTGTATGCTCTAGTATCATATATACTGTATTGTTATAATTAAGTTAGAGGTAAGAAAATCCTAAGAAAGACTAAATACATTTACAGTACTGTACTGTAAAAACAATCTGCATGTGAGTGAACCTGTGCTGTTCAAACCCATGTTCAAGGGTCACCTCTAATCATTCCCTTACTGAAACATGAAAATTTTGGTTGGTTCCAGTTTTCCAGGATTGTATGCAAAGATGTCCATTGTTTATGTGTGAAGTTTTTTGTAGAATAGATTCATAGAAGTGAAATTGCAAAGTCTAAGGTAACGTACATTTACATTTTATGAAGTATTGTTGAATGTCTTAACAGGAAAGTTACACCGATATGTATTTCCTTGACTACATGGACTGTCCCTTTCTCTAAACTCTTACTTAGATTTTCTTTGTTCTAAGGTTAACAGTGATTGTAAGATGCTGTTGTATGTAATATATTAAAAATAAGACTATATTACAAAAATGTCAAAATTTAGGAAGAAGACAGTCTTCAAACTGGAGGAAATGGAATACTGTTACTTAGACAAGTTTTATTTGAGTTGTTTATCTGGAATTAGAATCAGTGGTTTAACAACATGAATAACCTTTATAGTTTTTCAAATTGTGAGACCAGAGGAGGTAGACCTTTTACCGTGTGCGTACCATAACCCCAAAATGTAATTGTGATTTTCTGAATTCAAGTTTTGTTGCAAAACGTGTTAATCTGTGTGTTCTGTCTTCAGGTTAGTGTGCTCTTTCTTAAGATGTCTTTTATGTGCAAAACAAATTCATTAATGTATTTTTCTATTAACTTGTATTTGGTCCCCTTAAGAACACGACCTCGAGATGATATCCTCAGTAGACGTGAAAGATCAAAAGATGCCAGCCCGATCAACAGGTGGTCTCCAACCCGAAGAAGAGCAAGTAGATCTCCAATTAGAAGACGGTCTCGTTCCCCGCTCAGACGTAGTAGGTCACCCAGGAGAAGAAGCAGGTCTCCTCGGAGGAGGTAGAGATACGTTACATATGTTGACCTTTTTAATTCATTAAACTCTGTATGCCTCTGAAGCTTCATATTAGCTCATTAGGTGGGTTTTCTTAAAGACCATTTTTCTCTGTGAAAAATTGAAGCTGCGATCCCATATAGTTTCCTTTTTACCAGTGTGATATTTCACACACACTGATTTTTCTTTATCTTTTTTTCAAATTTAAATTAGTGGTTCATTAAAAACTCAATCTTTTGAAAGGGGAACACTTCTTTTTTCCTACTTCTTAAGAAAGAAATACTACATGAGCTATGTTTACTGGTTTGTTTTGTTTTAAGCAGGATAGATTATAAGGTAATAAATAAATAGCCCAGTTTCCAGTCATTATGTAATTGCAGGTCTCTATTTTTCTATTAACTTGTATTTGGTCCCCTTAGAACGTGACCTCAAGATGATAGCCTCAGTAGTTGTTAAAGACTCTTTTGGCAAAAACTCTTTAACTCACAGTAGTAGAAACCATTTTATGTAAAGCACATGTAGTGAATTGGTTAATCAAAATGTTGGTTTGTAAAGCAGGAATCATTTTAAAGCATATGCATTAAATATTTTTTTAAAGGTGTATCTATTTTAGAGCATGCAAGTGGGGGCAAGGGCAGAGGGAAAGAATCTCAAGCAGACTCCCTGCTGAGCACAGAGCCAGCCTCAGGCTTCATCTCACAGGCCTGAAATCATGACCTAAGCCGAAACTAAGTCTACCACTTAATCGACTGAGCCACTCACGCAGCCCTATGTGTTAAACATTTTAACTCAAACATAAATGGACTTTTCATTTGCCAATTTTTTAACATTTTTAATTGAACTAATACATGAATGTAGTTTAAAAAGACAGCATACCAATGGCTTATATTCCAACCAGTGGATACATCTTTACATTAGCTCTGAGTATTTTTGTATAGTAGATTTCTTGAAGTAGAAGTGCTTTGTCTGAGGTTGTGTATGTTTAAATTTTTGAAGTTATTGCCATGTTATTTATTGATTTCTTACTTTGGACAATTTCTTTTCTTTCCCTTTCTTAAGTAGACTCCGTGCTCATAGTGGAGCCCAGTATGGGGTTTAAACTCAAACCCCTGAGATCAACACCTGAGCTGAAATCAAGAGTTGGACACTTAACAAACTGAGCCACACATGCACCCCAACACTTTTTTTAATTCCACCCATCACACTTTCTTTTCTACCTAATTGTATCACATTTCTCTAGGTTGTTACAGTCATTATGCTCTTGTGCCTATTGCTCATTGCTGAGCAAGTAGTCAGGGGAAGGGGGCAAGGAAAGACCTTCCTCCTAATGCTTCTAGCCTTCTGTCTCCAAACCAACTAATAGGCCTGCTTGTACAGTTATTGTAGAATTTGTTTTCCCTTTTCTGTCCTCTGGATATTCCCTTGTTTCTGTCTTATTTTGTGGTTCCCTTTCCTGTATCCAGCATTTTCAGGTTTTACTTCCTTGCTTTGTTAATGCATCTCCAACAACTTCCTATGAAAAGGACATTTTGGGGGACTTTTGTTTAAAAGCCCCCCCTTTTTTATTTTCTTTCTTTCTTTCTTTCTTTCTTTCTTTCTTTCTTTCTTTCTTTCTTTCTTTCTCTTTTTCTTTCTTTCTTTCTCTTTCTTTTTTTCTTTTCTTTTTCTTTTTCTTTTTCTTTCTTTCTTTCTTTCTTTTTCTTTCGATTTTATTTATCCAACAGTGAGACACACAGTGAGAGAGGGAACACAAGCAGGGGGAGTGGGAGAGGGAGAAGCAGGCTTCCCGCGGAGCAGGGAGCCCGATGCAGGGCTCGATCCCAGAACCCTGGGATCATGACCTGAGCCGAAGGCAGACGCTTAACAACTGAGCCACCCAGGTGCCCCCCCCCTTTTAAATCCCCATTGCTGATTTGATTTGTCAAGGAGTAGAATTGCAAGTTGAAATAATTTTTTTCTTAAGAATTTTGAAATTGTTATTCCACAGATTTCTGGTTTCCAGTATTGCTATTGAGAAGTCCTGTTCTGATGCCTGGGCATTTCTTAGAGGACTTGCTTTGTCTCTCTCCCTCTGTTTTTATAATAAATGTCCTGCATTCTGGACTTCCACTATAATGTGCCTTGGTGCATGTCTCTTTCCATTGATTTTGCTGGGCACTAAATAGGCCCTTTAAAGCAGAAATATTATGACTGCCTATTCTGGGAAATTTTCTCTCTTTTGTTTTTGTTTTGGTTTGCCTTCTTGCCCATTGTCTCCACCCCCACCCCACCCCCCACTGGACCTTCTGTATTGTTCCACTGACTTCCCCACACACACAGTCATCTTTGATGTTTGTCCTTTTGTTCTACTTTCAATCTAGGAGATTTTCCCATTCACCCTTCCTACCTTTCTATTGATTTTTTCCCCCTGTGCTCATGTATATTTATTTTTATTTCTAAGACTTGTTGGCTGTTTAATTTTTATTATGACATTTTACTCATGTTTTATAGAAATAGCATCTCTTAGGTCAAAGATGATAATGAGTTTATTTTATGGAGTTTTTTCTTGATAGTTTTCTTACCTATACTTTGTTTCTTCCCAGATTCCTGTTGTTGTTCCTTACCTTTTTTCATTTGAGGACTTTACTCATAAACAGCTGGATCCTTCTTGTTGCCTATTCTCATTTAAAACTTAGCCACTGTGCAAGCTGAACGGAAGCTTTCTTCCATTCTGAGAATGTAGAAATTGTGGCTTAGTGGGTATCACTTCAGTGTAACTAAATCTCTTTAGCATATCCATGACTGTAGCCCTCTTCTTTGGGGCCAGCAGTTTTCCAGAATCCTCTCATCTGCTGGAGAATATTGTCATGTTTGCAAGGAGAGTTGTGGTTCTTCATAATGTAGACTTCCCCTTAATCCTTTAATGTTCAGTACTGTGCCTCCCTGCTACCTTGGGTCAGTTTTTATAACAACCAACACCTCTCTATAAAATAAATTTTAAGTATTATGCCAGAATGTGAAGGGGGATTTTTGGCATTTTCTACTGAGTCAGGAAGGGAACTATACAGAGGCAAGCTGTTGCTAAGGCTTTCAACCAGTTCTTTTTAGCTTTTACCTCACACCACATCTAACAGAATATGGTGTCTCCAGTTCGTGAAGCTTTCTTGGGTTTTGTGGCATGCATTTACTTGTTTCTTACTTACCTTGTCTGTTCCTGTTGGACTAATATTTAAATTTGATTTATTACCATTCTATCCAATTTGCACATCAAGATTTTGTTGACATTTCTGTTGTCATAGTTCTTCTCATTCTCTTTGCCTGAGGGTTTTCTTTTCAGTTGTTCCTTTCATGTTATTTTAGTAAGGTTTCTTGAGAAATGTGACATAAGCATGGTAGTCAGATGTGACAGTAACTGGGAGTTTGCCAATTCTTTGTAGACTTAGCAGCCTTTTGTTTGGAGTTCCATAGCATCTTTCCAACATAAACTTCACCTTTAATGCTTGAGCTATAATATCAGTTTCTGTTATACATGAGGCAAGACCTTTTTGCACTTATAAAAATGTCTGAGGGGCATGTTAATTAGACTTGGAATTTTTGTCACATTTGTCTTTTCTATACCTTATTAGCAGTGATCTCTTTTTAAACTCGGTTTTATTGAAACATACTCACATAAAATAAATTCACCCTTTTTGGTGTAAAGTTATAGGAGTTCTGACAAACACATAATCACCATAATCAAGAACATTTCTATCGCCCCCAGAGTTCTTTTGTGCCCCTTTGCAGTCCAGTAAGAACAATAGCTGTATTTTAGTTTTCTTCAATTAAGCTGATTAACCCAATCTTTCTGATCTGTTATTTTACTTTAAATTTTTAATTAACCCCTTTTTAAAAGATTTCATTTTTAGAACAGTTTTAGGTTCACAGCAAAATAGAGCTTTTGAAAAGTACAAAGAGTTCTTTATACTACTGCCCCCAACACACGCACAGCTTCTCTACCTTTAATTGACCTTTAAAATGTGTGTATGTATGATCTCCCCCGCCACCCCAATAGGGACAGAGGTCGGAGGAGCCGGTCACGCTTGAGAAGGCGGTCTCGATCCCGGGGTGGTCGTAGACGTAGGAGCAGAAGCAAAGTAAAGGAAGATAAATTTAAAGGAAGTCTTTCTGAAGGAATGAAAGTTGAACAAGAATCTTCATCTGATGATAAGTAAGAATGGAATTTCCCATAATTGCCTTTTTCCAATTTAGACAAGTACTGTTTGACCTGGAAATCTTTTAATTTCCACCTGGATATTGTAAGTGAATCTATTAATTAGGTCCTGAATTTACAAGTTAATTTTTTGTGTATAATTTATAGGTTAAAATTATGTGGCAGAGGTCATGGTTTTCTGATTTTAGAGGTTCCAGTTTTGACTGGAGTGAATATCATGAGCCTTCCCTTTTTCATTTTGTTAGAGATAACAGCCCTACCAATCTTGGATTACCAGTTTTACAGTGGTTGGGGGTGGTGGGTATAGTGATTTTTAAACTTTTCAGTTTGTGTAAAATGATACATACTTTGCGGTTGAAGCTATGTGGTGTTAGGTATGCCTGTTACAGTGTGGAAAATACAGAAACATTTCACTGTCTAGTGAATAAAATATTTTTAATGTGAATTTAGTTGTCTAGATAGAACATCTCAAAAAATAATTTAGAGCAGTGGTCCTCAGCTGGGGGTAATTTGCCTTTCTGAGGACATTTTGGCAACATCCAAAGGTATTTTTGGTTGTCATCTTGTGGCTAGAGACCAGAGATACTGTTCAACATCTGCTAATGCACAGGACAACGCCCTCTTCCATAACAAAGAATTGTCAAAATATCAGTAGTGCTAAGGTCAAGAAAGCCCAATCAGAGCTAGGTGATACGCAAGTTAAGGGAAGGGTGTTAAACATAGATCCTGATATCTTGAGAATGCAGTTTGCTTACTGGTGTGCAGTGAACATTCAGCAGAACATAAGAGAGGCTGTGCGGGGAGGGATTGTAAAGATTCAGAGTTCTTTGGGAGGAAATTCGGACCAGTTGGGCAGTGTCTGGGGATACAGCCACGTTCCTCGTCAGATTGTAGGCGAATATTTACATACGCATCTTTGATAGGGAAAGGATCCATAGCTTGCCAAGGATCTATAGCTTTCTGTGACCCAGAGAAGGTACTAGTTTTCTTACATGTCTCACTCTTACTCTGTTAGGGGTTAAAACTGAGGCTGGCTAGGTGAAATGACTTTAGTAATAGCAAGGTCATGGTAGAGCCAGGGGTCACTTTTTTGAACTTAAGGATCTTTTGTTCCTAATTTGGTGCCATGAAACAAGTCAGGAGAAAAATGAGATACAGAGGGTTAAATTACTTGCCAGGATTCCAAACCAGGCAACTGAGAGAGTTTAGAAACAGGATAAAGAGAGTAAGGTGGCTTAAGACTTTTGCTGGAACTTGCAGATGACCTGTGTTTTCTAGCTTTTATTTTTAAACTGTGTAATAGTTATGGTTTGTGACTAAGGATGTTTGAAATTGTGTGTATATATGTGCAATTTTTTTTTTTTTAAAGCCTTGAAGATTTTGATGTAGAGGAAGAAGATGAAGAAGCCCTAATAGAACAGAGAAGAATACAGAGGCAGGCGATTGTTCAGGTATGTGATATTAGTAAAGTTTTGAGCAATTCTTTTTAAATAATTACTCTCTTAGTAAAAGGGTTTTTACTTTAATAAAGAATCGATGGTGGTAGCAGTTGATTAAGTCTTAAGGAAATGTATATGTGAAATTATCTTTATGAGATTTGAAAAGATAATTTCTTACGTTGAAATGGTTGCCCTTTTTTGTTATATATAGGATTTGGATATAAACTATAAGGCAAAATTCGAAGTGTTTTTTGTTTTTGTTTTTGGTTTTTGGAATTTCATTTAGCAAAAAATTATGTAATTATACCTGTTTCTGTATCGGGGGGGAACCATTTTAATGTCTAAAAAAATAGATTTTCTTGTGTAACTGTGATTGCTTAAATGGGACATCTCAAAAATAATTTTAAAAGTAGTTTAGAGGTAGGTGATTAAGAAAATGGGGTGGGGAGAGGGTGTTGTATATAAGTCTTTGTGTAGTCATTTAAGATTACCTTCCTTGGAAGATTGTCCGTTATGCCTTGGGCATCCTGAGATAGAGCCATGGTCACTAGATCCTTTGTGGCTGGCAGTCCCTGTAAAGTGTAATGCTTTCTCTTGATCATGGGAAGGTGAGTGATGGAGTAAAGAACACATTCTGGAAGAAGTGAAAAATGTTTAGATACTATAAGGAAGACATCAGGCAAAAGGAAAGAATAGTTGTGGCTGCCAGCTTACCTACACATACATAGTAAATCAAAAATCTAGCACTGGAGGTCAGAGCAAAGGAAAGAACTTGAATCACCAGAGGATGTAGGGCAAAACTGGAATTCCAGAGAAACTTGCTTTTCTGGGGCACTGATGAAATTGTTGTTATTAAACTGATACCCCTAGAGACTTGGTTGAATCTTTTTTTGTTCTTGCCCAGGTCCACAATCCCTTATCTCCAGCCCTTGGGGCCAGATGTGCTTCAGAACTCAGAACTATTTGAATTTTAGAAAGGTAATATGGTGCATCTATGTATATTATTTAGCCCCATCAGTGGGGTCTAGAACAGCACCCCACTCTCAAACACATTAGTATTTCTGCAATGGGACATATTATGTTCACACTGGGGGATATAAAAAAAAGACTGCAAATAGTTTCACATCTGTTCAGGTGAGGTTTTGTCACCTAATGAATGTGCACCAAACATAGAAAAACTTTTTCAGAGTTTTGTGGATTTTGGAAATATATGTAAGGGATTGTGGATCTGATTCAATCAAGACATCAATACCTTTTTAAAGTTTTTAACATTGACAGTCTTTTCAGTGCGATACCTCTTAGCAGATATGCATCAGATTTTATGAAAATAATATGTTGTATTATTGTTACAGAAATACAAATATCTTGCTGAAGATAGCAATATGTCTGTGCCATCTGAACCAAGCAGCCCTCAGAGCAGTACCTGTACACGGTCACCTTCTCCGGATGACATTCTGGAAAGGGTAGCTGCTGATGTGAAAGAGTATGAACGGGAAAACGTTGATACATTTGAGGCTTCAGTAAAAGCCAAGCATAATCTAATGACTGTTGAACAGAATAATGGTAAGTTAGATTTTTGTTTTGACATACTTTTCTCTGAATTTTTAGCTCTGTAAATAATGAAAAAGATTGTTTTGAAATGGGTAAAAGTGAAAGGGATTAGAAATGTTGCCCCTCCTGAATCTTAGGGTAATACAATATTAAATGTGTCCCGGTGAATGTCCTTTATAAATGTTTTGATTAGTTCACGTAACCTAAACAGTATTATACTGAATCTCATGTATTCATTACCTTCTGTTTGGGGCACCTGGCTGGTTCAGTGAGTAGAGCATGTGACTCTTGATCTCGCATTTGTGAGTTCAAGCCCAGTGTTGGGCATAGAGCTTACTTAAAAAAAAATAAAATGTTGTCATTACCTTCTGTTTGGCTTGCTAGAGTAATTTAAAGCAAATCCCAGCCATGATTTCATTTCATAAATGAAATTGTGTGTCTCTTCTAGGTAAGGACTTTAAAAAAAAAAAAAACATTACTTGGGTACGGGGTTGTCTCAGTCAGTTAACTGTTCAACTCATGATTTCGGCTCAGGTCATGATCTCGGTCCTGGGATTGAGCCCCATTTTGGGCTCCATGCTGAGCAGGGAGTCTGCTTGAAGCTTCTCTCTCTTCTTCCCCCTCTCCCCCTTCTCGCACTTTCTAAGTAAACAAATAAAATCTTTTAAAAATAAAAAACATTATACCTAAAGAATTGATCATTTTTTAAATATCTTTCTAATTACAGTTGGTTGGTTTGAATCAAAATCCAAATAAGATGCACATCTCTTAATCTCCAAGTCTTTAGTACTCACTCTCATCCTTCCCTCCCCCCTTTCCATTTTCTTGTGAGGATGCTGAGGCCATGTGTCCTATAAACTTTTCTTTCCGTTGTGATATTGCCACATTCTTGTTTCATTTATCTTTATTTCTTCTATCCTCCATGTTTCTTATAAACTAGTATAAGTGTTAGAGACCTGAGTAGATTTACGTTTTTTTTTTTTGGCAAGAATGCTGCCTGAGTGGTGGTGTGTACTTGCATCGCATCAAGTGGCATGTGGTGTTTGCTTGTCCTATTTTTATTGATCTTGAGATTGTGTGTTTAGATAAGATGATCACATCTGTCCAACATGAAGTTGCCCTTCAGCTGTTCACCTGGTAGTTTCAGCAGTCATTGGTCATCATGCCTTATTAGATCCACTATTTCATGAGGGGTGGGGGCAGGTGGGCACACTCCGAAGCTGTGATTCTTAAATTTCCATAATTCCTTTTGAATTATTAGCTGTAATTCCGTCAAAGAAGAGGTTTCCATTCTTTCGTTAACCAAGAAATATAGTTTGTATAGGAGTGTCAGGTTAAATGCTTGGTTATTTTCTTTTATTGACTGATACTTAGGGTAGAATAGATTTGGTACATTAACAACCTCCAGAGATGACCAGTGAGGTTTGGGTTGTTTTTGTCAGGTTTTTATTATTTGGTATCATTATGTACTAAAATTCTCTCTCCAACTGAGGTGGGGGGGAGGGAGGGAGCATTTTTAAGTTGGTTTCCAATGTCTTTTTGATCCAAACCCTGCAGGATTTATTGGTATTAATATATTATGTTTCTTTCTAGGACGGGCTGGCAACTGTTTAAGGTCAGATAGTTAATATTTTAGGCTTTTGTAATTTATGCGTTTTTTTTCTCTGTTCCAACCACTGAACTCTGCTGTTGTAATGCCAAAGCAGCTGTGTTCAGAAAAAAACTGTGTGGACACCAAAACTTAAATTTCATATAATTCTCACATGTCACAAAATATTCTTATGTTTTTCCCTAAAACCTTTAAAAATGTAAAAATGGGCCACGTAAAAACAAGCAGGGGACCAAATTTGCCCCACTCTGTAGTTTAAAAACTCCTGTTCTACCACATTGTAAGATATCACAGGCTCACCTTGTGCATATCTTGTCCCAGAACCGAAGCAGCTATTGCTCCAAGGAACCCTGGTTCCATTTAATAGGAAATGCCATTTAGACTTCACAAAGCACTTAGGAGTGCCCATTATTCATGGGATTTTTCAGTGGACCAAGCTAGGACGTGCATTTCTGCATTTTTGGAAAGGGGAGCTTCGTACTGAAAAATTGCTAATTCAAACTTGAGATTACAGGGTTTTTATTAACATCTTTGATTTTCGACTTGTTTCTTTTATAGTGAAAAAACCTGATTCCTGATAACATGATTATTTAGGTTATTTTGAAGCTTTTATTTACATAGTTATCAGTATGATCACCAATATTGAATGTAGTGAATGCAAATTGAAAATTTAATGATTCTTTTTATCCTTGGGATACATTCCAAGGTGTAAAGTCATTTGAAATACTTTGGTATGGTTATACCACCCATTTGATAGATTTGGGTTTATTTTAATTGCTTTTGATTTTCAGGAATTTTCGGTTTGATTATTAAAATGTCTTTCACATGTGTGTGTATTTGTATTTTTGCCTACACAAGCACACACAGAAATATACACACTCATCAGTATGAAAAGATCTTCATTCCTTTTTACAGCTCTGTGCTATTCCAGTGTAATGAATGTGCCAAGGCTTATTCACTATGTCTTCTAATGGTGGATGTTTGGGTTGTATCCAGTTGTTGATTATTCATTGGAGAATTAATTATAATGTCATTGCGCATTAAGTCATTTTTTAATGCTAAAACTGTATCTTTGAAATAATTTCCTAGAAGTGGGGTTGCTGGGTCAAAAGAGTATAATGTGCTATGTTTCCATATTTCACTCTGTAAGGCTTGCACAGTTTTGCCTCCTGCAAGTAATGTTTGAGTACTTGCTTATCAGGGCCTTGTTACCTGGATGTTGTCATACTTTCAGGTTTATTAGCCTATCTCAAAAGAGAAAGGGTATTTCTTTATAATTTTAATTTGCATTTCCCTTACTGTAAGTGAGATTGGGTGTGTGTTCATATGCTTCAAGCCCTTGCATTCTTTTTTCTTTCTTTTTTTAAGGAACTCCTTTTATTTTGCCCAGTTTTTCTTGGGGATTATTGGACTTTTTAGGGGAGACATACATAGAGATCTAGATCTATAGTGGGGGTATTAACCTTTTGACATTTTAAGTTGCAATTTGGAAATGGAATTTTTTAAAGAGGAACCTTGATTTTAATACATAATCATTATTTAGCTATTAGCATATTAATTTAACTAACAGTGGAGAAAATACTGACATTAGATCTTTCAACTTTCTAAAATGCATCCTTTTAATAAAAAATGGATAGCTTTCTAGATCTTAAGTGTTACAAAGTGACTTTAAGTTGGGTATTAGTGAAAAACTGATGTGCAAGTTTGAATTGCTAGTGATATTACATTGATGACTTATTTGTGTTTTAATATGTATCCCTTCATTTTTCAAATATTACTGTTAATTTCCATTAAGGTTCATCTCAGAAAAAGCTCTTGGCACCTGATATGTTTACCGAATCTGATGATATGTTTGCTGCCTACTTTGATGTAAGTAATTTTAAGTCATAAAACATAACTATTAAACAAAATATATTTAGGGGTGCCTGAGTGGCTCAGTCGGTTAACCGGCTGCCTTTGGCTCAGGTCATGATCCTAGGGTCCTGGGATCGAGCCCCACATGGGGCTCCTTGCTCAGTGGGGAGCCTGCTTCTCCCCCTGCCTGCTGCTGCCCCCTGCTTGTGCTTGCTCTCCCCCCTCCCCCCGTGTGTGTGTCAAATAAATAAAATCTTTATTAAAAAAATATATATAATAAGTATGTGTTTGTGTTGTATACAGAGAGAGAAAAGGATAAAGCAAATTAATAAATGTTAATACTTGGACAGTCTGAATGAAGGGTATCTGGAGACTCTTTTTGTACTAGTGCTGCAACATTTCTCTAAGTCTAAAATTAGGTTAAGATTTTAAAAAGTGGCAGAACAGTTTGAGAGCTTCCGAAAAGTTAAATACCAAATGACTTAAACCTGTAGTTATTTTTTTGAAACAACTTTTTTTTGGATTTACAAACCAGGGCAGGGGGGCGGGGGTACATAATTAGCTGAGACAAGATGATGTCAGTAATTTCCAGGCCTGTATTAAAACAGTCCACTTTGGGCTTCTATATTGTGGGTGAATGAGAACTTAGGATTTGGATCCTAATACATTCACTGAAGAGTTGGGAATGTTATTACAAGGAATGGGTTAAGAAATTTTGTTTTTTTTAGCTATTAATGACTTTTCTTGAAAAACTCTTAACATATTTAAAAGTATGAGACCATTTTCATTATAAAGTCAAGAGAACATGAGAAATAAGGCTTTGGCAAGGGAAAGTGGAGGTCTAAACATAAAATAGAGAAATTAAAAATAGAGTAAGATTAAACAGTGAGCGTCCAGGACCCTGAAGACATCGGTCATTGGCTTAAGTAATGTATCTATATTTTGCAACGGGAACACCAAAACAAAGCTAGGTTAAGAGAGGATGAAGTGATGATTAAGCCGGTGAAAGTATCCCCACCCATCATTTATTTGGATGATAGTGAAGGTCTTCCGGGTATCATGGAAAGTAATGTGTCATAGTCTTCAGAAGTTCCACATACTCTTAATTTCTCACACCAACTGTTAGTGCAGCGTATATGGGAAGAGAAATCAAGGGGTGTTTCGTGGACAAAGCAGTAAAAGAAATGTGAAAATTGGTAGGAGAGAGAGTTGAACACTGTTAACTGAGTGCCCATCTATAATTTTTGTCCTCTGTCTAATAATAACTATAAAAAACCAGATCTGGTTTTGAGTTTTTATTTTCATTTATAATCCCCTAGTCATATTCCTAAGAGTTTTTGAAGATCACTTAATTTTTTTCCTGAGCGTTATTGTGATGTGAGACTTTGGTAATCAGTCATGTTTCCAGCTGTATTGCATTTACGTAGGTGACGGTAGGAGTTAATTTGGCTAAAATGTTTTTATTAAATTATAGCTGGTTTTCCCCATTTTGGTTTTAAAGGAAGTGCTTTAAGTATCTGCCTGAGGAGTAGTAGCCATTAGATAAATGGCTCTCTTGTTGCCTCCTCCATTTCAGAGTGCTCGTCTTCGGGCTGCTGGCATTGGAAAAGATTTCAAAGAGAATCCCAACCTCAGGGATAACTGGACAGATGCAGAAGGCTATTATCGTAAGTTCACAGTTCTGATTAATTTTAGGGTTCATTACAACATTTTGTAGAAGTATGTTGCTTGATGAAGTCACATGTTGGAGAACTCTGAAAGTCACGTCACAGTGCCATCACTTAAAATGTGTGGCACATCTAATAGCTGCATGAACCCATGTTGTATTCTAGTAAGCAGCTCAGGAGCTTCATGAATAGAAGTGAGGTGAAGACTTGATGTGCAACTTAAATCTATTCAAAGTTGTTTTCAGCCATGAGATAATCCTCCGGGAGGAAGGGGGAACGTGACTTGCTCGTCTTGATCTGAAACCAAGAAAAACGACATACAGGAACTTGGGATGCCAGTCATGCAGTATTTGTCATGCAGGACTACAGTTGGAAACATTTCAGTGAGCACATTTCTTCCTACTCAATGTTAAAATCCTTAGCAGTTGATAGGAAGTGGGCATGCAGCTTGAACCACATTATGAAAGAGTGACTGATGGAGGCTCGTCTTTGATTCTCCATGGTGTCTAGGAAACCAGGCACACAGTAGAGATTTGACACATTTTTTTTTAAGTGACTGCGCTGTGTTTCTTTTTGCTTTATTACGTATATCTCATAGTTTTGTTAAGTAAGTATTTGCTATGGTCAAAATTCTCGTTTCTTAATTTACTTTTTCAGGTGTGAACATAGGTGAAGTCCTAGATAAGCGTTACAATGTGTATGGCTACACTGGCCAGGGTGTCTTCAGTAATGTTGTACGAGCCAGAGATAATGCAAGAGCCAACCAAGAAGTGGCTGTAAAAATCATCAGAAACAATGAGCTCATGTAAGTTCAGAAGACCTATGTAATGAAACCTAAAAACACAGGTATTCACAAATGAACATTTTTAAAAAGTAACACAATCTGTAAAAGTATTGAAGTTATAAAATAACAGAAGTCTGGTAATGAATCTGCTGCCTTTTTTCTTTTATATAATAGAGGTAATTGCCATACCCATAGGTTTTAATAAGCACAGTCTATACCACACACTGAGCTGATGTTAAAGTCAACTTGCCATCGGCTTTAAAACACTGGGAATAACTTACAGATGTATATTAACATCTTCAGCTGCCCTAGGTTTAGAAAATATTTTAAAGCCATTTTAAAAATATGGCCTATTGACAAATTATAACTAGAATTTTAGAGGAAAACCAAATGTTAATATTTGGTAAGACATCCATTCTTAGTTTCTTATATAGTGTGGTTCCATTTTTGTTAAAATAGCATTTACATCAAGACATTTTTTTTTGAATAAAAATATGCAAGATTGGGGGCACCTGCATAGCTCAGTCAGTTGAGCGTCCAACTCTTGATTTCAGCTCAGGTCATGATCTCAGGGTTGTGAGATTGAGCCCCACATCTGGCTCTGAGCTGGGCGTGGCACCTGCTTAGGATTCTCCCTCTCCCTCCACCCACACTCCCCCACCCCCCAGAGAAAAAAAGAAAATGTGGAAGATTGAATTCTCTTCAGGCAAGGTGGGTTTGTTCCTCCAGTGTTTTTTTCTGTTAATTATTGTGGAAATAAGCTCCATGGAAACCATATTTGACTAAGTATAAAGTATTGTGTGAGTGACATACAGACTTGTCATTCCTCAACAGATTTAGTATTAGTACTTAAAAATCCAAACTACTTATCACCTATGGTAAATCAGACTGGAACTAGTAAATATTGTTTAGTTTTCTTAAATTCTGTATTCAGTTTTGAACTAATTTTCTTTTCAGGCAAAAAACTGGCTTAAAAGAACTAGAATTCCTGAAAAAACTTAATGATGCTGATCCTGATGACAAATTTCATTGTTTGCGACTCTTCAGACACTTTTATCACAAACAGCATCTCTGTCTCGTATTTGAGCCTCTAAGGTACACTGTCAAACCTGTACATTACTAAAAATTTAGATGAACACCATGACAGATTTCTGTATGTTTATTTTTTCCAGTTAGCTCTGGTTTTGTTTTTTTACTTTTGGTTAAGAACTAGGTTCATGACAATCATTAATGTAAAGACCGTAATTGACCACATACTATGTGTCAGACACTAACCTTATGTAGCCTTCAGCTCAACAGAGATTCTCTGAAAGTTAAATACTTCCAAGGAAGGATCACAATGTAATAAAAAGAAATGGGAGTAGTGAAGTAGAAATACAGTTTTGATCTTCAAAAGTATGGCTTCGGTTTTGGACTTTCAAATGTAAACCCATTCTAAAATCATTAGGAATTTTACCATTGTATGTCTTCCCTTCCATTTATTTTGAAAATTTTTATTGGAAAACTGTCTCATTTATACACAGGTTCATGTGCTGTCATTTTAGTGTAGAATAATTTATTAAACATCTGGGAGGGCTCATGAACAGATACTTTAATTTTAGTTAATGTTTTGGATTTGATTTTACTTTATGCTTGAACATGGTTTTGCCTTTTTTATTTCCATTTTGCATTTTAAGCCCTAATTTTGTGGGTTTTTTTTTTCTCTCCTAAAAGTATGAATTTACGAGAGGTGTTAAAAAAATATGGTAAGGATGTTGGTCTTCATATTAAAGCTGTAAGATCCTACAGTCAGCAGTTGTTCTTGGCATTAAAACTCCTTAAAAGATGCAATATCCTACATGCAGATATCAAGCCAGACAATATCCTGGTAAGTCAAACAATCAGGTTACCTTGTGTATCCATATGGTTCTTACCAGTAATGTGATAACCACTGTATTTTAGAAATGATGTCTTAAAAGAATAACTCAGCATATTAATTACTTATGACAAAGGACTTAACCAGTGTTGACTTTTTTGGAAATTGGTCCATGAAATTTTATAGTAAAGTATAAAGAAAGAGGAAATAGGCTATTGTCTCAATTTTTTCCTTTATATTGATGGATTTAGAGTACACACAAATCCCAGAAGTGCCTTAATGTAGTAATGATGGGCTTCCTCTGGTATCTAAACACAAAAATGCACATGTTGCTGTTTTGAAATGGTGTTCACAGCTCTTTGTTCTCTAATTTGTAGTCTGACAGGCTTAGAGACATTTAAAGAATTATCTCTTAAATAGATGTATGGAGTAGTATTTTATAGGTGCCCAGGAGGGGCCCAAAGACAGCAGAGCTCGGTTGTGATTAGATGTTACGTTGAAAGGCGTTCCTTTTACATTCTTCGCCTCTTAACTAAAGACTTCTGGGATGGTAATACGCAGCTTTCACAGGGTTTATGTTTTTTAAATTTAGAAGTAATACATTATCATAGGGGAGCGATGAATGCACACATACCTCTTCCTTCCCTGGCCCCATTTCTTCACCTCTGTTCTGAGGTATTCAGAGTTCGGGGTGTGTTCACAACTTGGGGAATTCCTACCTTGTCTGCTAATAACATTCTACACTTTTTTTTAAGATATTTATTTAAGACAGCACAAGCACTGGGGAGGGACAGCGGGAGAGGGAGAAGCAGGCTCCCTGCTGAGCACGGAGCCCAAAGCGGGGCTCAATCCCAGGACCCTGGGATCATGACCTGAGCCAAAGGCAGATGCTTAACTGACTTGGGCCACCCAGGTACCCCGTATTCTACAATTTCAGAAGATTATGATCCCATTAAAGTTTGTTAAGGACTCCTCATCAGTAGCTTAGCTCTTAGTTCAGATTTTTCTTCTTTTTTAGTATCTTAAAATATATTCTTCCAGACTACCATGTTAATAATGAGACATTCCATCTTAATAGGTTTTGTTTGACTTTACAGTGTGTTATACATCTAATATAACCTGGGGTTAGAGGAGCTAAGTAATTACAGCGAAATAAATGAATTGTAGACTTCATGTTAGGATTGAATTGTAGACTTTTCAACTTCATAGTTAATTTTTACCTCAGTTTTGTTTCTCTATTTTAAATTGTGAAGTATACCATCTGTATCAGAATGTATAAAATACATAAAATTTAAAGGTAACTATTCAGTGAACATCTGTGTAACCACCGTAGAAGTTAAAGAGTAAGACATTTGCCAGTATCGTAGGAGCTCTTGTTTTTAAAACTTTATTTTCCTTGAGTTACTGCTACTCTAGTATAAGTTTACACATGGACTTCAGACATTGAATGTTGTCTCCTTCCTGAGAAAGGAGGAAGTAGACATCAGAAACTAGAGGGAGCTGTTTGTGAATGAAAATCCAAAGCTTTTAGCCCAGGATTTCAACCATCAGTGTGGTAGGAGTACCATGTTCCTCAGGGAGGATAAATGTTGTCTAGGAGGAGTGCGTATAAGTGTGGATACCCTGCGGGTTGTTGAAGGCATTTTAGCCAGCCCAAGAGTCCTACTGACAGGTTTTAATTTTAAAATTGTCCTGGGATTTCTCTGGGTTTTAAACTGCATCCTTAAGTAGCTGAATGCAGTTTAGACTTTAAAAAGTTTCAGAAGTACTTGTGCCTTTGAAGATACTGATTTTCTTGATTCCCCAGGTGAAGAGAATGGTTATGAATATGGCAGTGAAAAATAATCATTTCTATCAATAGCTTAATTCTGTGGATATCATCTGTAATGGGCCAATCTGTAACACTGACCAAGCTTTATGATATCCCAGTAGAAAGTGGCCAGGACTTATTTATTTAAAGTGTTAAGTTTCTTTGGGGTGGGAACCGTAGGCCAAGTTCAAGTCCCAACTCGGAATTTGTGTGTGTCTCTTTTGAAGGGGGGAAGGGACTCTGGAATATGAATTACCTTCACTTGTTAATCCTGAACATGCTTCTGACTCATGAGTGGCAGCAGCCATGGGAGCAACTCCAGCCTTTCTCAGCAGATGTCACTGTTACTGTGTATGTTGAAGTATTTACAAAGGAAAAAAAGAAACAAATAACTAATATAGAGTTCATATTTATCAGTTGTGCCAAATATATTTAACATTTTCTTGACTAATACCTTCTTTATATTTAAGGGATTTAATATTTTTTAGACTTGAAGTGATTGCTAAATTTGGGATGGTCTAGCAGCTTCGGATGAAGAATGTTTTTATTCTGTTTTTGTCCAGATTTAATCTGAATCATCCTTTGCTTTCATTGCTATCGTAATTTTCTGGCAACTGAAAGTTACCTTCAATCAATTGAAAGTTGATCTAAGTCTGTCCCTTATTAATAAATTGTCTTCATGTTCCTTTAAATAGTAACTCGACTTTATTCAGGTATTCTGGGGATTTTTAGAAGATGCTTTACTTCAATGAGATTTTTCTCTTACTACCCCTCCCTTTTCAAAGTAGCATTGGTTAAAATTAAATGTACTTGGTATTATCCCATATTTCCTCACTGAAAAAAGTTACTTTACTAATTATAATCAAATATTTGATAGCTCTTAATTTTTTATAATTAGGGAATTGAGTTATAATTAGAAAAGGAATTATAAACGGGTAACTTTGTTTTCAGTATTGGAAGTAACTTCTCAAAAGCCAATTATTTTTATCTGATTACTTGTCTTAATTATTTCTGGCATGAATTAAACTTCCATGATAAAATGTTTTGCAGGTTAATGAATCAAAAACTATTTTAAAGCTCTGCGATTTTGGGTCGGCTTCACATGTTGCGGATAATGACATAACACCTTATCTTGTCAGTAGATTTTATCGTGCTCCTGAAATCAGTAAGTTTCTTCAAATGTTCTTTGACCTGGGCCATCATATGCAGTGGAAACAGCATATTTAATGTCTAAGTACTGTTTTCCATCGCACTTCAGCAGCTGCACGAGGTCATTGATGAGGAAGGGAACCGTAGCAAGTTCATCCTCCTCAGGTGGAATGGTGGTAGTTGTGACAGGAGTCTTGATCATGTCTGACAAGAGTAGCAAAACAATTGTGGAAAATCCTCGGCTTTAGAAGACTGCTCTTGATTACTCAAGGTCTGATTATCAAATTTATGGATTGTATGGGACCTTTGTTTTTGCTCTTCCTGTTGCCTTGGTTGAGGCTGGTTAGCACCTCCACCAAAGGTGAAATGAGAAAAGAAATACACATTTCCTTCTGCCCCTCCCCCCTTTCCTTCCGCATTCCCTCATTTTTTAAGGTTTTTTAAGTTTAAGAGTCTGTTAAGAATTAGTGGGGAAAAAACATGAGGCTAATGCCAAAGCGAGGTATTAAGATTGCAGTTATGTAGGCCAAGCTAAATTAATCCCCTATTAATGAAAATAAATAGTTGATTGTTTCTGTCATCATGTATTAAACTTCCATTTTGTTTTCAGTTATAGGCAAAAGCTATGATTATGGTATAGATATGTGGTCTGTAGGTTGTACCTTATATGAACTCTACACTGGAAAAATTTTATTTCCTGGCAAAACCAATAACCATATGTTGAAGCTCGCCATGGATCTCAAAGGAAAGATGCCGAATAAGGTAGGACATTAATACGAGCTGTTACTTTTTTTTTTCCCCCAAGGTCTTAGCAATAGTTTACTGTAGACCAGTGGATTGCTGACACTTTACTCATCTCTAATGGCTGTAAAACCATTTCAGAAAGGCAGGTGTATGGCTACTGTAATTCCTTAGCTTTTTTTTAAATTTCTGTTGTTTAAAAAATAGTGGGTCTAATCAGCCAAGAGCTATCAAAAGTGAATAAGAGAACTCCATTTTCCTGTTCCCCTCTAATGTCTCTCTTTGCTTTTCTTTACTCTCTTAAATTAAGCAGGAGGGTAGGGGGCCATAGTTTAGAGTAGAGTTGGAATTGAGGAAGAGAGATTGATGAGCATAAATTTGTTAAGCACCATACATGTATATATGACTGTTTCATATCTTTGTTCTTCCCTTGTTCCATTTATTATCCTTTAATGATGGGCAGAGAAGCAGCCTTGGGAGCACACCGTTATTGGTAACAGCACCAAACATGCTTGAGAGGTGGAATGAAAAAAGATGCAGGTCAGGTTAGTTCAGATGTGAAGAAGGGCTCAGTTGTCAGAGAATGACGGGTGAATATTGGAAAAGGAACTTGATGGCAATCAGTTTATTAAAGATTGGAAGTTATTTGGGAAAGGATGGTACCAAGAAAAACTCACTTAAAATTGACATCTTTCTAACATAAAACTCACCCTTAATGCTTCAGCCACAATAATTAGTTTCAGAAATGAAGCAGAAACTTTAGGCATTTATAAACCTGTCTGAGGGCCATATCTTAAACTTTGATGATTTCAGCTTATTTGGTGAATTTCTGAGAGATTATACAGATTTTTTCCCCATATAGGTCAGAAGCCATTATGTTTTTTAGGTACTGTCCAAATTCTCTCATATTGGACTTGTTTAGAATAAATTACACAAAAATTAGTTATGTTGGTATTTGTTTTAATGAGGTCTGACCTGTATCATTTCAGGGCTATTGGAACATAATTTATAAAACGTCATTGGGTTTCTTAAGCTGCCAAGAAAAAAGGTCCCAACTGTGTAATATTTTTCCTAGGAACAAATGATTTTGTCTTTGAGTCTCAATTTTGAATAGTGAAAGCACAACTTGATATTATAATTGGTTTAAGTCACTGCCTGGGAAAATATAATTTCAAGTTATTAAGTAGTTTCAGGCACAGCATTTATATTAGCTTTTTCAAAGATGTTAGACTCTCCAGAGCAAGGAATCTAAGTGAATCCTTAAATGAGGAGACTAAATACGTCCTATTTTTGACTTGTTAAATATCAAATTGTTGGTAGGCCAGACTGTTTCATAATAGTTCAAAATCCAAGTTTTATTTTGCTTTATTGCCAGATGATTCGGAAAGGTGTATTCAAAGACCAACATTTTGATCAAAACCTCAACTTCATGTATATAGAAGTTGATAAAGTAACAGAGAGGGTAAGTGTCTCTTAACTGTGCTACAGTAAATGATTGTCTTATTGTGAACGAGCTGAATACTGGGTGGTAGTAGGAGCTGTGAATATTTAAAACACTAAAAATAATTCCTTTTTGCTGGTGGCCAATTCCTGAATAAAACACAATGAGGTTATGAGAAAGAGGAAGGATTTAAAAATGTTTGTCTAGTATAATGAGTCTATTTTTATCGTAGGTCATAATTAGGCCCTCTTCCTCTGTTCTTTGGATCATTTTCTTTCTCTGGCCTCCCATCCAGCTTCTGGACTACTTACCAGAGTGATCTTTTTGAAAACAAATCTGATCATGTTATTCTCCGTGCTTAAAATCCCTTCATTGGGTTCCTCTCTAATGAACTCTGCCTCTGCTGTTTTGAGCAGTTTGCATACCCCCTCATGGTACTCTGTAAACCCCCCCATTCCACACTTGGCAGTCAGCTGAAGGGCGTGCTGTGTCATACCTCTCTGCCTTTGTTCACAGACCATCCTGACCTTATTTGCCTCCTCTCCTTCCTCATCCCCTAAAAATAATTTATCCAACTTCAAGCCTCAGGGGAAATACACATTCTCTATGAGCCTTTCCAAATCCTCCAGGTTGAAGTAAGGACTTCTCTGTTTTTGCCCCATTATATTGTCTGTTCCTAACTTTGTCAGAGCCCTTAACAACAAACACTTCCATGTCTGTCTGTCACCACTTCGGGGTAGGGAGAGGACAGTTCAGACAGGAAGTGCTTACTGTTAATTATTAATTACTTAACGGTGTGGGGATTTTCGTAGACTTTCTGTTAGCAGTTTGATCTTTTTACAAACATGGAGTATGTTTTTTAAAAACTATCATAGCTAACTTGGGGTTGATTCTTTTCATTCAGGTTTTTCGGTTACTTCTTAAAAAGATGTAGGGAATAGAGGAAGTCACATAGAAGTTTTAAATGAGTAGATAATACATATATATCATATATATATATATATCATATATATATATACACACACATATGTATATATATATTAGCAGTTCTGATACACCAAGCAGTCTGATTTAAATTAAGGTACATATGCTTAGTAACTCATGTAGACATACACATTTTTAAAAATTATTTTTAGGAGAAAGTTACTGTCATGAGCACCATTAATCCAACCAAGGACCTGTTGGCTGATTTGATTGGGTGCCAGCGACTTCCTGAAGACCAACGTAAAAAAGTACACCAGCTAAAGGACTTGTTGGACCAGATCCTAATGTTGGACCCCGCTAAACGAATTAGCATCAACCAGGCCCTACAGCATGCCTTCATCCAGGAAAAAATTTAAACGAGATGAAAGAAGCTCCAAGGGTTTGAGTAATTAAATACAAAGACTGAAGAAATTTCACAGCAGTTTATTAATGTATATAAACTTATAAATATTTCTCCAGCAAATTTGAGGAAGCATGATATATTTGAATTAACACCAAGGGTGATATTTCTTTTAGAAATGTTAGTTAATCTGTTTTGTGTCTTATGTGAAATTTCACTGTAGAACTGTTTTAATTGCCAAGACTGCACAAAATTACAGTGCTAATGTATATGGTTGCAGTTCACATAAAAGACAAAAGCATCTGTTATAAAATGAGTAGTAATACTGGGTGGTTGATTTATTTTTAGCAAACTTGGCTTCATATTGGTCTTCGGATAAAATGGCCAGCATAAATGCTGTTTATATTCACGTTTTCCTAGGTGTGTGTGTGCAGGCCACAGCAGCATGCCCTTGGTGTAGTCAGTGCCGAAAGGGGTCTGTTCCTTCTTGAGCCTGCCTGCAGGGATGGTCTCCTCTTTTAAAGCAGGTTGTGTACAACATTCAGTACACTGAAGGTAAGCTAAACCATCAACATCACTGGTGTTTTAAGATGTTATTTTATTGGAACAGTTGACAAATGAGGGATATTAGCTTTGTGGCGGAATTCCCTGCATGTGTGATAACTGATCTTGTTTTATTTTTTGGCATTGCAACTGTGGCATAGTTACAGTTTCTGTTCTGTTCATCACATTTAAAATTGGAAGAGTATGCGCTTGATGGATAGAGCGCCTTCAGTGTACTGTTTCTTATTAACTTTAATTTTTTTAAATCAACTTGCTATAGACTTTATATACATTTTGTTAAATACAGTTCGTAGTGACGTAGAAACAAGGCATAGTTTTCCTTTACTAATTACACATGTTGAGGCCTAATTCTGAAAGTCCTCATATTTAAAAGTTAGACAACATAATGAAATTTTTAACTATTTGTATGTCATTTTGAAAGTGTACTGCTTTATGGTAAAAGTGTTTTTCATTTGTTCATTGTTTTCATTATTTGTGATCATGTTGTCTTTCAATACAGGCATAAACCTTCCACTCTTGAACAAAGCAGCTGCTTTTTAAAAGCGGTAATTGCTTCTTTACCTTTTATTTCTTTTGTAAATGAAGCTTTTCTTTAAGAATGTGACTTTAAAGTGTTGTCTATTGCATAAAACAGTTGACACTCACTTATTGTAAAGTGAAGATTGTTCTCCTGCATGTGAAGTGGACCATGCAGATTTCTGTATGTTCTCAGTATGCATCACTAGATAATAAAGTCTTTTGTGAACAAGGCATTTGTAGCCATTTTTAAAAGTTTTTGTCTTCAGTGCTGGTAAGTCAGGTAAACCATACATAGTTAAAAAGCAATCTTTCATTTCTTCCTTTAAGTCTTTAAAAGATTTATTTGTTAAAGATGTAAGCTTAGCCACAAGTTGATCATTTTATTAATAATCAGGATCCTAACTATTTCATCAAAAAAAAAAAATCCTACAGATATTGTCAGCTTTCAGTGTAGTGAGATAATTCCTGTAGGTTACAGGGTGTAATTCAGGATTTAACTAATGTTTCTGCTATTTTCTCACTTTTCCTTTTGATGGTGCGGAAAGAGAAAAGGAAAACGGGGCACAGGCCACTCACCGCCTTCTCCAAGGGGTCTGATTTGCTGAGACACCAGCTTCACCTTCTTAACAAGGTTATTTCTGACAGCATGTGTAGTTAAACATTTAGCAACGATTTAAAACAAAATCCTGTAAATCAGCTTGGTTTTGCAACACAAAGGAATTTGTATTTTTAACATGGTAGGAGAGCATTTTCAGAAATGTATGTACATCTTTTCTGTTTGGGTGGTAAAATTAATGCTTGTCTTCCTGAGCATTGTGGAAAATAACCAGATTTTGGGGGTTTAAATAATATTTTTAAATTGTAAATGGGATTTTTTTATTCACCCAGGCACCTAATTACAACAAGCATGCACATTTTGGTGCATTCAAGAATGGAAAATCAGAATAGCAGCATTCTTCTGGTGGGTTTTGCTCCATTTAAAGACATGAACTACAGCCAGGAAGGTGATAGATGATATAATAAGCCAACTTTGAATCTACACCCCGTCTCTTCATGGTTTAGACTTACTAAAAATAAATAAAAGGTGGTTTTCATCTTCAGGTAGTGAAGCCTTTTAAATAAGGCATCACAGGTGCAGCTTGTCTACCTTACCAAAATGGGTAGTGATTTTCCCACCATGACTTACTTTATTTTGGTGATAATATGCTGCATATTCAAGTCTTTGGTAGTTATTTTCACTCAAAATAGTTAAAATTTTGATGCTTCTGGTGATTTTCATGACTTCATTTTATATAATTATTTAATAAGTAAGTTAACTTCCACTAGAAACAGTTCATCTTATGCCTTCAAAACTATTACCTATTCTTTAAAAAACAAAGTTGCTTGTTACTTGTTCTTTGTGTTTTAGGTGCAGTTCAGTGGAAGATGATGACAGCCAGAAGACATGAGCTAAGGTTTCTGTCCTATAAAAGATTTAAAAAAAAAAAGAAAGAAAAAAAAAAGGAGTTCTCCATTTAATTTTTGTCTAATTTTTTAGTTTTCAGCATTATGATTTGGGTTTCGTTAATGTTTGGCACTTAGAATAGTAGTGCTGTTGTGTTCATCTGTAAAGTGCTTGTTTTATCATGCTTCCTGCCTCCTTCCCCTCCCCCCCCAATAAAAACGGTAGTCAAATTTAGTGACTCTTTATGAAAGCGAGATTCCACATAACACATGGCCATCAAAATTGGTTCCTAGGGGTTATTAGAAAAATAGAAGCCACCAAAATCACATATATCAGAAAGTAGTCTTTAGCTTTAGGTATCTTATCTCCTTGGCAGATGCAAAAGAAGAGAAAGCAGAACTTTAAGAACACTGTTACTCAATTCCTCTAATACTCTAGTCCCCGACTTTCCCTTTTAGTAACTGTTTTTGCGAGTGCTCCAGTCATGGTCTTGAGATAGACAAAATATTTAGAACCACTGTCCGTTTTTCTTCTTAAGTGAGAGAAGTAGATCTTTGTTCCCAAATTCAGCATTCCTAGATTTGTCTATTCTAAAGACCCATAAACATTCTTTATGTACATGTACATGATTTTATTAGAATTAATAATTTTGCTGAGGCAGAGATTTGGAACTTTGTAAGACCTCTATTAGATGATGGTCATAATTTAGTGAATTATTTTAGCCTGCATTCATATTTCAGAGTAGCTGTATAGTTTTCAAATAAGTTAATCTCTGATGAAGCATTTGTTTTATTATACTTCACAGCAAAAATATCCCGTGATTGTCAGATGTCAGGGCTCCTAAGTCTTAGGGTCTAACCCTCAAAAAGATCATAGTTCTTTCTGTAGTCAGTGGGTAGGTGAGATCCAGAAAGCAGATACACTGTAGACCCTGTTTTCTATGTGAACCTTATTTTCAAAGTCATGGTTTAGAGTATCGAGGTTCGAGTATCAGGTTGGAGTATCGAGGTTTTGAAGGAAGGGAACATCTCATTTTAAAGACCTTCCCAGTATTCACATTCACCCCTTAGTCCTTGTTAGTTGCATCCTGTTTATTCCCCAATGTATAACTCGTTCCACTCTACTACTTTCAAAATAAGTTTGTTTTTAAGATACTGTAATTTTTTTCCCATTATAATAACCACCTTTTTTCTCCAAAACAAATACTCAGGACATTTCTACAATACAGAAAAATGTATGTTTTATGGTATGTGGTAGAGGCAGAGAAAGGTGTAGTGTTCTTAGAACTGTTTCATATTTGCATTCCTTCTACTATGCTTTACCTGTTCTTTATCATTTTGTAATGCTAGCTGGCTAGGTAGAAATAAATCTCTGGGGTGAAACAGAGGAATCACATATCTTCAAATTTAGGCCAAGTAGTTAAAAGAATGCCCTTTTAAATGTTGGAGATAACTCAAGTAATTTCCTTTCATTAGTTATGATGACATCATTAGAAATTGGGCTTCATAAAAAGTGTTTATTTCCTTGTAGTATCCTAGTTCAAGCATATATTCAACATGAGTTTTATCATCCTCCTAGATGGAATATCTTCCTTATGGAAATGTTCACCACAAATTCATTTGTGTTTTTTTACATGTCAATAGTGTACACTAAATTGACTTTTAAAATGTTTTCCAGTTATTTAATAGATATCATCATGGCATCCTTAATTTTTTTTTTCTCCTTCTGTATGTAGGGTAAGGGACTATTCTTCTGAAGAATCTTTCCATTTAGTGATCAAGATATGGAAGCTGGTCTCTGAAAATACTCAATATGTATCCCAGTTACCCGTGGTATCATTTGAATTGTAACTTGCATTTTAGCAGCAATGTTTCCAATTATTGGGAAAACTTAATAAAATGTGCCTCTTGTTACCATATTGTTTCCTGATTTTTCCTTTGCTGGAGTTTGCTATTTTACGTTTAGTTTTAAGTTAAAACACCATTTCCTACCTAAGGTTTCTTAGATGCTATTTCACTGGTGTTCGTAGATGTGCTTTGAAGGGTATTCTGTGCCCAAATATGATTGGCAACTGCCAGATTAAAATTAGATATTTATGTTAAAACTTCTCAGAAGTTACTGTGTGCATTGTGAACCTCAGTGAAGGAGGAAGGTGTGGAGAGAAGTTTACCAAACCACTTGGCAGAACCTGCTGCATGGAAACGGCCAATTTAGTATGATCTTCTTACAAACATCAAAATCTTTCCTAGCAACTAAGTGCAGAACACATGCCAAAGGGTTTGGTATTCATGTTCTTGTTACATATATTTCTGATTTGGTTATCCTAATAATGAGAAAACATCATAAGTAATGAGATAACACCCTTTTCTGTAATGATTTAAATCAATTGGTTCATTGTAGATGGGGAAGCCTGACAAATAATTGGACTGTATCCTTAGTCTGTCCGCTCCTCATTTTCTTTTAAGGAAACATTCTCAGCTTAGAACAAGCAAAAAACTGTAAAATACCTAAGAGGAATGGGGAGATTGAATCTTCAATGCAAAGCAGGACTGGAGGAGGCAGGGCCAAATGTCTGGCTGTGTGGGGTACACCTGACCTAGCAGGTGCCACCTTCTCTACCTAGTTGTCGAGTCCTGGTTTTTGTAAGAGATGGGCCATAAAGGCAGTGGCCCTGGACAGCCGCCTTGCAAAGGTCCCAGTTGTAGTTTTCTACTTGGGCTGGCAAAGGATTAAAAACTACATACTCCTCTGTCTAAAGCAACTGACAAGGGTCATGAGATCCTGTTTTTTGTTAGGGAAGGTAGTATGCAGGGTGCATTGGGTTTGGGAGGTGGTTATGGCAAACTTTGAAGAGAACTCTTCTACATGTGCCTTCATGGATGAGAAAGTCAGAATCTGCCTTGGGTAAGATCCAAAAAGGAGCTAAGAAAAGGTGTCCGACTGGACAGCCAAAACATGGGGAATGTATAAGCAAGCCAGAAAGCCAAATTCAACTAAAATTTCCTGAACAGAATTATTTCAGTTTATATGTGTCTGTTAGAAGCTGCCAAGTGTTTCTTCAAAAATAGTGGTAGAAGTTGGTTTCCAACAGGTTTGAAAAATAGCCAAGTCTTTCAAGTTTGTTGGTAACTACAGTCCTCCCACCCCCAACAGGAAGTTTTTCTCTTAGCCAAAGATTTATAAGCTGAAGATGGCTACATCTACTTCCTATGTATATGCCTCTTCTAGCCTCATTTTAGGGACTCCATTTAAAAAATTTCAACTATTTTTACTAATGATCATAACGTTAAAATAAGTACCTTTGCTTCATAATTGAAGTCAGCATTGCTGCTAATGCATTTTTTACATAGTTACATTTAAAACAGTTTGGGACTAATTGAAAACTGATAGGTGTTTCAGTAACTAACTCCTTTTTTAGGTCTAATGGCATCCTAAATAAAGTAACCTGGTTATGTTTCCAGTGAGAAATTTGCCCTCCCTATCTCTTAAGATATCAAAGCCCAGAATCCATCTCCTCCCACCCCCCAAAGCAATCCTTCAGTGCAGGAATGTATTTTTTGGAACTGCTCACACAGTGATCTATTCCCTCTACCTCTATAATACTCCTCCCTACCTCCTGTTTCCTGTCTCCCATGTCCACTCCCACTCCTGGTCTTCCTGGAAACCAGGGCTTGCGTCTTCATCACTCCACAGCATGTTCCTGACGCCGGGCACATGCCTTGCAAGAAGCAGGATGTGAATAATCGGGAGTTGTTCCTCCAGTGACAGTTAATTCAGTGCCAAAGCAGCTCATTCCATCCGGTGTGCCCTCCTGTGTCATTCCGGTTTTTCCCCCGATCTATTTTTTAATTTGTCAGGCACTTGATCCAATCCTCCCATGATTATATGAGAGAACAGGTTCGAGCCGAGGTTAAGGAACCTGCCCGAGGTGCAGATCTGTTAAGTGGCAGAGCCTGGCTGTGGAGCGGTGCTTGTAACTGCTGTGTCACATAACTGGCCTCAAGGCTGGGCCAAGTCCTTTCCTTAATCCAATATTTGGAATATCTACGGACCAGGCGATGGTTGTTCAGGGTAAGAGTGGTGAACAGAACAGGCAGGTCCCTTTCCTGGCGCTTTTACAGATAAAAATTACATCATTACGAACCTAAAGGTGAGGGGATGAAATCCAAGCAAGTAAAGAAGGTAGAAATGAGAATGGGTAAGAGGTCTGCCAAATAAGGCTCGGGACTCAAGTTAGCGTTGTAACGACGAGAGGAAAGGGGGTTGACGGGAAACAAGAAAGACCTTTGCAAGCTGGGATGGAGTGAAAGCATGAGTCCGTTTTTACATTCTGTTCTGTGAGAGGGATGTTCTACCTCTTTGGATAATGACACCAACTATGGGATTTAGGTAAAGTTCTGTTCTACAATAAGAACAGTTTATTTTTCTCTTGCCATGTTGATACAGTTCCAGAAAATTCTTTGAAATTAATCTAAAAACAGCCTACTCTCTTTGACCTCTGCTTCTAATTCTTTGAGCCTTATTCTTTTACTAAAAATAGAATAGAGGAAACTGAAGCCACAGTTGCTCTCTTCAATATGTATTTGAATTGTCTTTTAATTCATCTCCCCCATCCCTATCTCGACTATTTCATCTGGCTTGGTGTGGAGGGGGTGGGCGGGGCAGGGAAGCCGATACACGATATTGACCACGCCTTGGCAGGGGGCTGGGGAGTAGGGCGCCTTTTACTTCTCAGTTTCCTTTGGGCAACGCTTGAAGTTTTCATCGTGTTATTTTTTCAATGTTTAAGAAAAACTCTTGACTTCAACCATCCACTGAAACCAAAGCACACTATTCCCACCCCCCCACCCGCCCAAATATCCAGACTCTGAGCTATGCATTTTACACCAACTTTTTCCTTTACAGTGGTTTTCAAAGTGTGATCCAAGAACCACCTGCATTAAAATCACCTGGGATGTTTGTTTACAATGCAGGTCCCCAAGCCCCACTCTCGGGTGCCATGTCCTTGGGCTTGGGACAGAACCCTGGAC